AACTCTCTATTTGCAGATGATATGATCCTACACTTATAAAGAAAGCTCTGAAGAGGAAATCAGGAAAATAATACCATTTACAATAGATACCTAAAAAAAAAAAAAGAATGAAATATTTAGGAATACATCTAACCAGAGAAGCAATAGCTCTATACAAAGAAAATTACAAAACACTACTACAAGAAACCAGAAAAGACCCGCAGATATGGGGAATATGCCCTACTCATGGATAGGAAGACTTCACATTGCAAAAATGTCAATACTACCCAAAGCAGCCTACAGATATAATGAGATCCCAATCCAGATTCCAACATCATTCTTTGAAGAGATGGAGAAACTAATTAACCTACTACTCAGTCACACTAATCAAGACAGCCTGGAACTGGCAAATAAAAGAGACATAGATCAATGGAACAGAATTGAGAAGCCACCTATGGTCAGTTGATCTTCAACAAAGGACCAAAATGTATTAAATGGGAAAGAGATTATAGTTTCAACAGATGGGGCTGGAAAAATTGGAAATCTATTTCCAGAAAAATGAAATAAGACCCATATCTCACACCATATATAAAAAAGAATTCAACTTAGTGTCAGAAGGTACTGGGGAAGGTAGAATCTCCACTGAGTGGTTTTCAACCTGTCTAGACAAGGCTGATTAAAGGAGATGGGGATAACACTCTTGTGGTACAATAGTGAATAATTACTATCAGGACTGACTGTGAGGGTTGGAAATGTAAAGGTACATGTTTTTTAACAAAAGGTGGGGAGTGGTTGATTTTGCAGTCCAGTCGCTGAGGACCCTGGGACCATCAGGGGAGAAGAGCAGAGTGTGGGACCCTATCCAGAGAAGCAGCGACGCCAGTTATGGAGGGAGGCAGACATGATGACATGGAGAGATGGAGTCGCTGGGGACTCTAGACTCAAGGAGGGAGAGGGGCTGTGTGTTGGTGGCTTGGGGGCAGGCTTGCAGGATATGCCCTTTGGTTGTCTGAATATATTCCTGAGTGCTTTGGTGTACATCCAAAAAAAACCCAGAGGGAATGGAAGCAAACGCATGGAGGGGGTTGTAGTTATTGCAATGAAATGAAATATGATAGGATGAGTGTAAAGCTGATGTTCTCCCATGTAAACTTACTCAGTTCACACGAAAAACTTAAAAAAAAAAAACAAAAACTCAATGTGGAATAAAGATTTAATTGTAAAACATAGAACTATATAGAGATCACCCATGAAAAAATAGGGATAAGCTTAAGAACTCTGATACGTGGCACAAATACATTATGAAACAACTGAAAGTCCACAAATAGAAGAAAAAATAGATGGCTAGGATCTCTTAAAAATTAGATACTTATTTGCATCAAAATATTTCACCAAAAATGTTAAAAGAAAAACCACAGACTGGGAAAAATATTTGGCAACAACCTATCAGACAAAAGAGTATTCTCCAAAAACTATAGAACCCAACACTTCAATACAAGACAAATAATTCAATTTTAAAACAGGCAGAGGACAGGAACAGACACTTCAGGCACCCAACAAACATATGAAGAAATGCTCACAATCATTAGCCATTGTTGTTATTGTTAGATGCCACTGAGTTGGTACCAAACCATAATGACCCTATGCACAACAGAACAAAACACTGCCCAGTCCTACACCAATCTCGCAATTGCTATATTTGAGTCCATCACTGCTGCCACGGTGTCAATCCATCTAGTTGGGAGTCTTCCTCTTTCTCTCTGACCCTTCATTTTACCAGACACGATATCCTTCCCCAAGGACTAGTTACTCCTGACAATATGTCCAAAGGATGAAAAACGAAGTCTGGCCATCTTGGCTTCCAAGAAGCATTCTGGCTGTACTTCTTCCAAAACAGACTGGTTTGTTCTTTTGGCAGTCCATGGTACTTTTAATCTTCTCCTCCAACACCATAACTCAAATGCATCAATTCTTGCACAGTCTTCCTTATTCACTGTCCAAGTTTTGCATCAATATGAGGTTACTAAAAATACCATGGCTTTGCCTCAGGTAAACCTTAGTCCTCAAAGTGACATCTTTGCTCTTCAATACTTTGAAGAGGTTTTGTATAGCAGATTTGCCTAATGCAACAAGTTCTTAGATTTCTCTACTGCTGTTTCCATGAGTGCTTATGGTTGATCCTAGCAAAATGAAGGCTTTTCTTCAATCTTTTCTCCTTTTAGATGGGTGTTATTTATTGGTCCAGTGGTGAGGATCTGTTTTCTTTACACTGAGGTGCAGCTCATACTGAAGGCTGTGGTCTTTGAACTTCATCAGTATTTTAGGTCTTCACTTTCAGCAAGCGACGTTGTATCATCTGCATATTGCATGTTGTTAATAGGTCTTCCTCCAATCCTGATGCCATGTTTTTTATTCATATAATCCAGCTTCTCAGATTATTTGCTCAGCATACAGATTGAATAAGTATGGTGGAAGAAAACAATCCTGGTGTAAACCTTTTCTAATTTAAAATCATTCAATGTTCCCTTGCTCTGTGCATAGGTTCCTCATGTGCACAATCAAGTGTTGCAGGATGCTCACTCTCCACAATGCTGTCCATAGCCTGTCATGATCCACACAATCAAAAGCCTCTGCATAGTCAATAAAGCACAGGTAAACATCTTTCTGGTATTCTCTGCTTTCAGCCAAAATCCATCTTACATCAGCAATGATATCTCATTGTTATTATAAAATGCCGTTTAGTCAGTTCCGACTCATAGTGAACCTGTATAGGGTTTCCGAGGAGCTTGAACTGCTGACCTTGAAGTTTAAACCAACCTTGCAGTCCAGCACATTAAACCATAGCGCCATACCAGGACTCCAATAAAGAGAATAGAGGAAAAAAAAAAAAAAAAGTGCTGACGGACTAGTCATGCTATTGTAATAGTAAGGCTTCTTGTCAAGAACAGGCTATTAGTAAGTAAAATTTGAGGGAGCCAAACATGTTAACACGGATTTTCTACTATGGAGGGTGATAGTTGGGAGCTACATTTAACTACCATATTGCTTAAGAATCAACTTTATAATCATTTCCTGTGTCTTTCAAAAGAAAATCAATGCAATTAAATAAGAAATAATGGATATAAGTTATTATTTAAAATAGAGATTATTCTGTTGTAATTATCACCCTGGAGATTCAAAGGTCCGTTAAAAAATAAGAAGTAACATTTCAATGCCAGATGGTTTCTATAAATTACCACTCTGTTACAACAGCAACACTGTGAGGTAGTTATGCTTAATTATACCCATTTTATAGATGCTTAAACCAAGGCACAGTTTATCCAAAGCCACAGTTATAGAGGATGAGATGTAGACTTTGAACACAAGTAGTCCAGCTGCTCTGGTAGCGTAGTGGTTACGAATCGGGCTGCGAACCTTAAGGCTAGCGGTTCGAAACTACCAGCCGCTCCGCGGGAGAAAGATGAGGCTTTCTACTCCCGTAAAGATTTACACCCTCGGAAACCCTGTACAGGGTCGCTACGGGTCGGAACCGACTCGACAGCACTTAACAACAACAACAAGTCCAGCTGCCTAGTCTATGCTTTTAATCACTATACCATATACATCTGTAAGGCATAAAATAAACCTTAAAAGATGAGAACTTTCATATGTATCAGAAATACCTAGTTGAAAATCAAATATATTTTGTTTGTAAATTATACATTTATAAATGTACATGATAAAAAATATATTTAAAACTACACATACACATGTACAAAAAGAAACACAACAATGATTTGTAAACTGTTTTGGTTTTATCTCTGACAGAAAAAAAATGTGAACAAAACTCAAGATTAAAAAGACCAGGCTTAATGGTCAGAAAAAGACTGGTGTAACCTCCAAAAAAGTAGCTCTTTCCATTCTTCAAGTCTGGAAATGAACTTACTCTCATGGCTCAATTTTCAGCCAAGCAACACACAAATTTACAAGGGAACACCACCACTAGGGTTGTTGTTAATTGCCATTGAGTAGGTTCCAAAGAGTGGCTGGTGGGTCTGAGTCATCAACTTTGCAGTTCAAGCTGACCATGCAGTCCAGAGCTTTATTCCACAGCACTACACCAAGAGTCCCTTAATCAACCCTTTGAGATCAAAAGGGCAGCATTACCCAAAGACAAAGTTTAAAGTTCAGAAAGGTTAGAAAAGGAGGAATAGAAATGGGAAACACAGAGAGAATGTGCATTAAATGATGTCACATTGTAGTGACCGCAATCAATGACATGAAAAAAAAAATGCATGAATTATTAAACTGATCTGTTCTGTGAACTTCCAGTCAGTTCACAATAAAAAGTTAGAAAAAAAAAAGTGAACAAGTTCTCATTTATTTCAGGGTGAGTGGAAACCAGTTTACTTTTTAGGTGTATCTTAAAATATCTTAAAATAGAGAAAATTCCCATTTTCCTGAATGTATTAGCCTAAGATTCTCCTGATACGGAAATACATATTTTTTTAAAAATAATATTTGCTTTTCTCAAATTTCTAGAAAGAGAAAAGGTGGGAGAAGACATGGGTGATGCCAGTTCCTGCTAGTAGGAGGTCAGCTGTCTATTGGGAGCAACAACAAAGGACAGCGAGATCCATGTCCACCAGGACCATAGTAATTCCTTGATTCTATGTTAAACCCAAGGATAGAATAAACAACAGTGTTCACATAAATTACTGGGGTGCCAATAAGCTGGTTTGGCATCTATTGAACCATCTGATCTAAGCCATCTTTCATTTTTCAGCTAGTTCTGCCAGTCAACATCAAAAAGATATTTAAACTAGCTTTTAAAACAGTGGAGATTATCTGTGTATTAGAATTCAATGAGCCATTTTACGTTTCCTCAAGTCATCTGCTCTATTATTATACTTAGATAGGACTCTGTACATAGCAAGTGTTAAAAGGTTTATTGAAGGAAAGAACTATTTCTGTCCATGAGGATAACCAGGCAGGGCCCAAGCACACATTTATCCACATGTATAGTGAGCTTGCCGACATACCTGTAACAGCTCATCACGAGAGATCTTGTCATCTTTATCCAAATCATATAATCGAAAAGCAACTGGTAAGGAAAAACAATAGTTAGTGGAAATTCAGTAGTATTTTGCCCAGTCTCAGGGAACTAAATATCTAAAGAACACTATACAGAAAACTGACAGTATATTAATAGATTTTTAAAAAACAATGGATACCATTTGCAGGGCTTTTTTTTTTTTTTAAACTTGCAGGGCTTTTAAAGACATTTTAACATTCATAAAATTGAGATATATCTCATAATAGAAGGCACCTGAAATTTAATGAGATACAGTCATTCTTTAAACAAAACTTCTAGAAAAGAAAAAGCTAAATGTAATTTTTTTTTTTAATGCTAGAATGTTAACAAATAGACAAAAAAAATACAACGTAAGTAGGTCTAGAAGTAAGGGTCACCTCTCACAACCTAGCAATTCCACTCCAGGGTAAGAAACAAAAGAAGCCACACAGGCATCATGTCTATGGACTCTACAAAGTATCACTCTGGGATACAAGCTCTTTGCAAATTCATGTCAACTTTCAAGTAATTCTTTACTACATGGGAGTCCTGAGGTAGAATTTGATGGTTTCTTGGCCTTATCACAGTTCTCTGTCTTTAACAAAAGCTGCTGTTGCTGTAGGTAAGTGCCTTGGAGTTGGTTCCGACTCATAGCAACGATGTATGGCCTTCTACAAACTACAATAACGAGAATGTTGCTTGTGTCCATGTAAGAGAGAGGATGCAGAAGAATTAATATTGTTCAGAATCTATATATACTGTTAACAGGCAACCTAGTGAAGAGTGTAACACTGGAAGATTTTATAAACACTGAGAAATCTCACTGAGGAAATGACAGCCTTATAATTATAGCTGTTTTCATGCTTTGAATCACTTTGAGTTCGCCACTAAAGTTATTAGTTTTCAATAGGATGCTATGAATTTTAGAAAGTTAAAAGCACAGCTTTATACAGTTATTAAGATATGCAAATTTAAAAAAATTATTCTAGAAAGTCACTACTTAGTATAGGAGAGCAATACAGCTAATCATGCTACTACATTCTAAGTGCTATATTGTTTGTTGTTAGGTGTGGTAGAGTTGGTTCTGACTCATAGTGACTCTGCACAACAAAATGAAACACTGTCTGGTCTTCTGCCATTCTCACAATTATGTTTGAGCCCATTGTTGCTAAGTGCTATAACACATTCAAAATGCTGTGGGAATAAGAGTAAGATTATGCGAAATAAAAATCACACATTATTCAATAAATTTGACAATTCATTAGAGTTCTATTTTCTCCTATATTTAGTTTTTTTTTCAAGTTTTCTGCTGTTAATTAAGGAACCAGATTCTAGTGTGGTGCTGCAAGATAAGCACTGAACTGCTAACTGCAAGGTTGACAGTTTAAACCCATCAGCCACTCCAAGGAAATCCTGTATGGAGTCACTACAAACAGCTTGATGGCACTCAGTAACAACAATAATCAAGGGACATGATCTTGTGGTAAAGATGAGCAGTGTTTTAGTTTTGTGATTCATGAATCTGTCTTGTCCTATATAATACTTATTTCAGTGCTTCTCAAAGACATGTGAACACATACTCCTATGCACAAGTAAAAACAAGCTAGGCCACATTTACTATGGCTTCACATATCTCCTTATATATTACTTACTGTGCCCCTTTCTAAGAGAAGCTTGGGCCAAATCAGCTTAATACAATTTTAACTTGCTAAAGTGAAAAGTCCTGGTGTGGCACTGTGGGTTAATGTGCCGGACTGCAAAGCCGTTTGAACTGCAAGTTTGGCAGTATATGCTCACCAGCGGCTCCTTGAAAACCCTATACAGAGTCGCTGTGGGTCGGAATCAACTGGACAGCACTTAAAACAACAACAAAAGTGAAAAGAGAAATTCAACTTTCTGGAGAAGTGATGTAAGGGACTGGGCAATATACATGGCCCAACAAGTGCTTAGGGGAAATCTAACAAGTATCCAAGGAAAGGAGACAAGAGATACAGAGACAAAAATGAAACCATGTAGTAATCTAGCTATTCACTCCTATTATGTATGTCACATCCAACAGCTAATGAATTCTAAAATGGGCTGAGGGTTGCCATTATTCCTGATGAATGGGGACTGGGTCTTGCTCACTATTATCATTCTTAACACTTTCCACAGTGCTTACTGCACAGTTGGTAATCAACGAATTATAATGAGAATACTGTTGTGGTTGTTAAATGTCATTGAGTCAGTTCTGATTCAACCTACCAGTTTCCAAGAAGCAGCTGGTGGGTTTGAGCCACCGACCTTGTGGTTAGCAGTCTAGTGCTTACCCTACAGGGACAAACCAGGCCTCCACATGATTCTAAAAGCTATCATTTTTGGGTATTTAGTGCATACGAGGCACTATTGGAAGCATCTAACAGATACAAGGGAGCTTCAAAAATTTTGTAGAAAATGGATTTAAAACCATTGCCATGAATTGTTCCTTGGTATAATCTCATTTAATCCTCACAACAACCCTGTGTGGAATTTTAGTATACTATTTCACAGATGAGTAAAACTGAGGTTCAATATACTATCCAAAGTCACTGTGGGTTAATGTGCCAGACTACAAAGCCATTTGAACTGCAAGGTCAGCAGTTCAAACTCACCAGCTGCTCCTCGGAAACCCTATACAGGGTCACTATGGGTTGGAACCGACTCGACGGCACTTAATAACAACAACCCACAGTCACATGGCCAAAAAGTAGTAAAGCTGGAATTCAAATCCAGTCAGCCTGGGTTTGAGCTCTTAACCACTATGCTATTAAGCAGTAAATAAATGATTTGTCAGAAATGAAAAGCATATTTTCAAGCCAGAATTTTTCCTTACAATGCAGTTTGTTGCTTCGGCTGTTGAGTGGTTCTGGTCCATTCACATCTTTGCTCTTTTCATTATCTTCAATGGGTCGGAAATGAGCCAAAGTTCTCATGAATCCACGGAAATTTACTTGGTCCTCTCTGATTAGGAAATAAACACACAAAAACACCATTATTAATCAGGGTACATCAGTCAGGAAAATAATTTCTTATGAATTTAACATATTTGCAACAGCTTTAGTTACATTAAATGAAAGTCCATTTAATGAAGTTTTTCTCTATTTGCATGGTACTTTGGAACTCATACAGGAGCCCTGGTGGTGCTACATACAGGATAAGCACTGGACTGTTAGCCACAAGTCAAGGGTTCAAACCCATCAAGTGGCTTTGCAGGAGAAAGATGAAGCTTTCTGCTCCCATAAAGATTTACAGCTTTGGAAATCATATGTAGGGTCACTATGGGTTAGAATTGAATTGATGGCAGTGGTAAGCAGGTTGGAACTTATAAGGAGCCCTGTGGAGCAGTGATTAAGCACTCAGCTACTAATTAAAAGGTGAGTGTACACCACACCTGCCACTCCATGGGTGCAAGATGTGGCAGTCTGCTTCCACAAAGATCTGCAGTCTTTAAAACTAGTCTACTCTGTCCTATAGGGTCACAAAATGTCAGAACTGACGAGACAGAACTACTCAAGGAATCCCATGGTGATGCAAATGTTCAACATGCTCAGTTGCTAACCAAGTGATTAGAAGTTCTAGCCCACCAAGAATCACATTGGAAGAAGTCTGGTGATCTACTTCTGAAAAATCAGCCACTGAAAACTCAAAATAGCACATTTCTATTTTGACACACATGGAAGGACCATGCATGAGTCAGAGTTGACTCAACAGCAATAGGTACTGGTTAGGCTTAAAAAGTGTCTTCAGTTAAACCCTCACCCCAAAATCTTATCAAATTAAGTATTAATATTCCTGCATTACAAATGATTAAACAGACTTAGAGAAGAAACAGGACTTAAGCCAGATCCTAAGTTACCTATTGAATTTACTTTTATCTCTTCTCACAAAAAAGATGTGTGGTGGCTCTCAGACTAAAGAATGAAGAGAGTCATGGCTTGTACTCACTTGTTTCTGATTCTGCATCAAGCAGCTATTCCTTCCAACCCACTGACTTCTCAATCCCATCTCTCCTCTGAAGTGACATACATGCCTAAGGTATACTACAGAAAAGTTTCTATCTAAATAAATTTGTTATAAAAGTAATAAACACAATATCGAAAAACTGGAATAAAGAACAATGCTAGCTCGAGTTCTTCCAATCAAGTACAACAACCATTGTTAAAAACTTTAATGGATGAAGAATTTGTTCTTTGATATAAAAAACTTATGTTATGTAACATAATTATTGATACACAGCAGTTTTGGAAACAACAGGTTGCTGGGTTACTATGGCTATCTGAAAATAAATCCTAGTTTCTTTGTGTTCCATTAGGAGCCCTGGAAGCACAGAGATTAAGTGCTTGGCAGCAAATGAAAATGTCAGCCTTCAAACCCATCAGCTAGCTGCTCTTTGGGAGAAAGATGTGGCAGCATGCTTCCATAGGGATTACAGCCTTGGAAACCCTATGGTGAGAATTCTACTCTGTCCCATAGGATCACTGATCACTGAGTTGAAATTGACTCTATGGAAATGGGTTTTGTGTGTGTGTGTCCCACTAAAAAGATGTGCTATGTAAGATCTCTTAATGCCAGGTAGACACACTTATTAAGTACTAAGCAGACACTTCCTAAAGCTAGAGCTCAAAGGCTAGCTCATGAGCTCACTGTACTCAAAACAATGACCTTTATAGTCAAAGTAATTATATTACTAATGGTGCATGCAGTATGTGATCAAAAGTATGAGTAAGTTCTGAGGAATTAAATAATGTAGAATGAGATTTGAGTCACATTCCAGAACCAACAGGTTAATCAGGCATAGTCTGAGTAAAAGGTAACTGGTGGTGGTGGTGGTGGTTATGTGCCGTGGAGTTGGTTCCGACTCACAGCGACCCTGTATAGGGTTTCCGAGGCTGTAAATCTTCATGGGAGCAGAAAAAATTCATCCTGCAAATGTCTAGAAAAGGGGAAAAAACAACAAACCGCACCCCCCCCAAACCAAATATCCAAATTTGATTAGAGCAAGAAGCAGTTTGACTAACTTTAGCAGTGTAGCTCTCTGCTTCCTCATGTACACCCACCTAGTTTCTTTATCAGTAGATCAGTAGAGAGAATAGCCAGGAGGTTCTGTTGGCAGAGCATAAGTGGTAAGCCTTACAAAACAGCTTTTCATAAGCTGCTCAAGTAATCAATGGTGACTAAGGAACCCTGGGGAAAAGCTGGCAAAGTGACTCTACTGAGTTTGTAAAGGGTTTGGATAAAAAGCATAGCTATGAAAGTTATCTTTGGGCATGTTTCATTTAAGCTCTCTGCAAGGGCTAAAAGAGCGAGCAGAGAAATGGAAGAATTCAGCACAAAATCATGGACCTGAAACAAATGGAGCAGTTCAGGATGAGAGATAGGGGGAAATGAGGGAGGGAAGAAAGACTACTCATGGCCTATAGGAATCTGAAAAGCATAGGACTTGGTTCAAATCCTGTCTTTATAATAAACTGGCTACAAGTTTCTACCTTTAGTTTTCTGTTACTCAAATTTACTGAGTCCCCAACTTCTCAGCCTGTAAATTCCTTTACTCTCAACTAAGTTTTTAAATTTTCTTTTTTCTCAGTATTTTTCTGATAGTCTGCACTGACACTTAGTTTCAAGTCTCATTATTAAAAACTGGCACCCATTTAGCTTTTTGCACTGAAGATCTGAAGGACATATAGACAAATCACATGGAACCAGAAAGTGATTATTTAGGAGATTACTTGAAACATGATTATATAAAATAAGCCTTACTCATGAAAATGGTAATCTCATCACATTGTTGTTGTTAAGTGCCGTCGAGTCGGTTCTGACCCATAGCAACCCTGTACAGTGTTTCCGAGGCTGTAAATCTTTACAAGAGCAGAAAGCCTCATCTTTCTCCCGCAGAGCCGCTGGTAGTTTCGAATTGCTGACCTTAAGGTTCACAGCCCGATTCATAACCACTATGCTATCAGAGCTCCTTCTCATCACATTAATAAACACTTATTCAGTACTTTCAAGTAAGGAAGGCAGTGTGTTAAGTAGAGGGGCAGACTATGTCAATAAACTGAAGCCTAGTTTTATGTCAGACAAAGCCAAATCTAGGTAGCATATTTTAAAACATGTATGTGTAGTAGGGAGAACTGCTTTCTTTAAAAAGGCTGTGGAAATATTACAGATTAACAGGACGTTAAAAAGAAATGACAACTAAATGCAGTACTTGACCCTAGATTAGATTATGTGCTGAAGGGGAACAAATGCTATAAAGTACATTATTGGATGAACTGACAAAACTGCAATACAAATAAAAGATTAGATTAAAATAGATTAGAGATTACTGAAGTACTGCATTAATGCTAAATTTAATGTTGAAAATTGTACTATGGATATGTAAAAGAATATTCCTGTTTCAAGGAAATATACAACTGAAGTATTTAGAGATATAAAGCCATGATTATACAACTTATTCTTAAATGGTTCAGAAAAAATTATGTGAAAAAAACACACACACACAATTATGTGAATGTATGTATCAGGTGTCTATGTGTGTATCAGGTACACACACAATCTAGAGAGCGAAAAAGAGAACGAAAGTGTGTATGCCATGCACGCATGCACTGCACTGTTCAATACAGCAGCCATTAGTCAGTCACATGTGGCTACTGAGCACTGGAAATGGGGCTAATCTGAATTGATATGTGGACCTCAAAGGCGTAATAAGAAAAACAAAATACAAAATATTTCGTTAATAATTTTTAAGTATTGGTTATATATTAAACGTTTAGTCTGACCATCAAATAATAAACAGGAATTAAAGACAGAATTTTGAAAATGGGTTGATATGCTTACTTGACACTGAAAACAAAGAAGAGGATAAAAGAAAGAGATACTTTAGATATGAAAAAGTTAAGGATGCCCAAGTTAATTACATGGGACAAGGGATTGAGATGACCTAGTCAGTACCATTATTCCAGATTAGCAATTAATTCAGGCTGATATACCCCCCAAAGGAAGCCCAATAACTGCAAAGACTCACCCCTCTGGAAAAAAGGCATTGATGATCCGGTCCCCCAATGGGTTGATGGCAAGTTCTGGAATTCGCTGGAAATCTTCTCGGCTGCCAAGTCAGGGAGAGAATCACTTTGAGTTAGTGACCATTGATCCTCCACACAAACTCCCTTAGTCTGAAACAGAATGCGATCTAGCAAGCTCATTACCTCCTGGAATTTACTTCTATGGTAAATTAATCCAAACAACTGCAAAGAATAGCACTTTAATAGCTGCCAAGTGTTTCTTGTACTAACCAAGGAGTGGAGAAGCCAAATTTGATTACGTCACATTCCATTGACTTCACACACAGGTTATGTCAATAAACCAACTAACAAGCAAATACTAGGCCATTCCAGTAAATGATTCTTTGAGTATTACCATTTTATACTTAGGTTATTTAGTGGTGAATATACAGCAAATGGAAAGTATCATACAACAGAGTTTAAATATGGGGGCAAATATTCAGAGAAGTCCCCATACATTTGGTACATACCTGAACCTGTGAAATGTAAGTTCTTAGGTGAGATTTACATCCAGGAAAGAAGTAAATCAAATGTGGAAAGCAGCTGATTTCTACACTCTCTCTTTTTTTGGGGAAACATTTTATTGTACTTTGGGTGAAATTTTATATAGCAAATTGGTTTATCAATCAATAATTCATGCACAGATTTTCAATCAATAATTCATACACAGGGTCATTCATGACACTGCTTGCAATCCCAGTATTGTGTCAGCATTCTCCCCGTTTCCTCTACAAGTTCCATTTGCCCAGTTTCCCTGTTCCTCCTTCTCATCTTTGGTTTTGGGCAAATGTTGCCCTTTGGTCTTGTATAGCTGATTGTTCTAAGGAGCATATTTTTCATGGCTATTATTATTTATTTTATAGTCTATTATTTGGCTGACAGATGGCTTCTTCAGCTTTGAGTTGGATGACTGGGTGTTTTAGGGCAATAGAATCAGGGGTTTCTCCAGTCTATTTTATTTTTTTTAATTTGAATTTTGTATTACATATTTTACCCATTCTAACTAGGACCTTCTATTGTGATCCTGGTTAACGTGGACAGTAGTGACAGTTCTTCTGGTCTCAGATAGAGGAGACTGTGGTTCACTATAGGCCATTAGTTCTTTGGACTAATTTCCATACTTTCTTGCTCTGACTTAAGCCCCCCCCCCACCTGCTTTCTATAGACTATAGCCTCAAATATGGCAACTGTAATAATCCCCTCATAAATTGGAGATTATATTGAAGTTAATATTACTACTACTATTTATTTCATAGACACAGTCTTAGTTATCTATTGTTGCTATAACAGAAACATCACAAGTCAATAGCTTTAACAAACAGAAAATTATTCTTGTACTTTGTTGTTGTTGTTGTTAAGTGCCGTCGAGTCGGGTCTGACCCATAGCGACCCTGTACAGGGTTTCCGAGGGTGTAAATCTTTACGGGAGTAGAAAGCCTCATCTTTCTCCCGCGGAGCAGCTGGTAGTTTCGAACCGCTGACCTTAAGGTTCACAGCCCGATTCGTAACCACTACGCTACCAGAGCTTCTTGTACTTTAGGAGGCTAGAATTCTACAGGAATTTAGACTGCCAGTTCTCTAGGGAAAGGCTGCTTTCTGAAGGCTCTGGGGGAAAGTCCTTCTCTCCTTTTAATATCTGTGGGCCAGAGTCCCTTGGATATCTCTAGGTGTCTTAGCTTCAATCTTCCTCTGGGGTCCAGAGGTACTCAATGCAGAGACCCTAGGTGCAAAGGATGAGCTCTAGCTCTTTCTTGGTAGTACTGAAGTCTCTTTATCTCTCTCTGCTAAAATCTCTCTCATATTATCTCTTGTAAGATAAAAGGTGATGCAAGGCCCACCCCACAGAAATGCCTCTTACTGGCTGTACTCCCTCCCTAGCAACCACACTATCCTGTGTCTGTCTATTCCCTACCCTGTGCTCCACCTTCCCCTCCTTCCCCTTGCCCCACCCTAGTTCTTTTGCATTAACATAACCTAATCATCACTAACATAACCAGATTCTGCTCTCATGAACACAGAGGTCAGAATTTACAACACAAATAGAGGTCACAAAGTGAGGATAATTACATCAGATCTTGTCAATGGTCAGACAATTACATAACTACGAAATCATGTATGACAAAACTGGCAAACCCCTAAGAATAATGGCTTAGCCAAATGGACACATATTTTTGGGAGACACAATTCAATCCATGACACACACACACTGTTTTAAGTATTCTGAAATAATTTCTCATGCTAATTAATGTATTCTTTCTCTCCTCTTATAGTTAAGGAAATGGAAATCTGTCAGATAAAGTAACTAGTCTAGCCAGTGCCATACAGGTAGGAAGATAATTATAATTTAAATCTAGGTTTATAGCTCTAACGTACATATTCTTTTTCTACTAAACCACACTTCTTTACCAAATCAAACCTTTCGACTGTTAAATGCTTCCTTAAAAGAGTTTTAATAAATACATTTTTAAAAAACCTTTGGCTAGTAATCTATGCTGTCCACATCATATCTGAGCTATACTCTTTAAAACGTATCAATGTCATGAAAGACAAAGACAAACTGTTCTAGATCAAAGCGATATATAACTACAGTCAATGCATGATCCTGGACTAGATCCTGGACAAAAGGCTGCTAACCTCAGGGTTAGCAATTTGAAACTACCAACTGTTCTGTGGGAGAAAGATGAAGCTTTCTGCTACTGTAAAGATATACAGCCTTGGAAACCCTGCACAGGGTCGCTATGAGTTGGAACCGACTCCACGGCATATAACCACCACCACAATAAAGAATATTATATGGAGTCCTGGTGCAGTGCTGTGGGTTAATATGCTGGACTGCAAAGTCGGCAGTTCAAACTCACCAGTCACTCTTTGGAAACCCTATATAGGGTTGCAGCAGTCAAGATATCAAATGACATATT